GGCGTTCTACGAGGGGCAGAACCGGCTGCTGACGCGCTTCCTGATGGCGTCACGCGGGCACCCGTCGCCGTGCGTCACGGCGGGGGACTGGGCCTTCCTGCAGTCGCGGCACACGCTGACGGACGGGGCGGCTGCGGCGGACGCGAGGGTGGTGCGCAACGCGATAGTGGCGAGCAACGCGTGCAACGTGGGGCTGCTGGCGGCGCAGCTGTTCGTGTTGACGGCGAGCGCGTCGCTGGCGATCTTGGCGGTGTTCATCGACGCGCTGCTGGACACGGTGTCCGGGGCGGTGCTGGCGGCGACGTGGTACTGGAAGGGGCAGCGCGACCCGGCGCGGTACCCCGTGGGGCGGTCGCGCCTGGAGCCGCTGGGCGTGATCGCCATGGCGTGCCTGATGACGGCGGCGACGCTGCTGGCGCTGGAGAAGTCGGTGGGCGCGCTGGTCGAGGGCGCGCCGAGCGAGGCGCTGAGCGGGCTATCCGTGGGCACGGGCGCCGTGCTGGTGGGCGCGATGGCGATCAAGGTGGGGCTGTATTGGTACTGCGCGGGGGTGCCGGATGCGTCCGTGCGGGCGCTGGCCGAGGACCATTTCAACGACTTGATGTCCAACGCCGTGGGGCTGTGCACGGTGTTGGTGGCGCAGCACGTGGCGTGGTGGGTGGACCCCGCGGGCGGGGTGGTCATCTCGTGCTGGATTATTCACAACTGGGTCGTGCACACGCTGGAGCACTTTGACCAGCTGCTGGGCAAGGCGGCGGGGCCGGACGTGATCAACTTGCTGACTTTCATGGCCTGCAATCACCACCCGGCCGTGGTGGTGGTGGACACGGTGAGAGGGTACCACGTCGGGCACGGGGTTTACGTGGAGGTGGACATCGTGCTGCCGCCGGACATGCCGCTGTACAAGGCGCACGATATCGCGGAGAGCCTGCAGAGAAGGATAGAAATGGTGGACGAGGTGGAGCGGTGCTTCGTGCACAGCGACACCGAGACGCGGCACTCGCCGCACTGGGAGCACAAACAGGTGTGAAGGTACCGTACTGTACATGTATTGTTTTTCTTCTTTTGATTTTAAAAAAAAAAAAAATCGGGTAACGACAAGCTGTTGTCGTTGCCTGTTTTCTTTTGTTGCCGCGTTGCACACGCGAGACGCCGTCTCTCTCTCTCTCTCTCTTTTCTTTTCTTTTGTTTTTCTACGTACGTGCTGTGCGTACGAAGGTATGCTGGCAAGACCGTCTGGTTTCCGACAAGTTGCGGCGGTTTGATGACAAAAACGAAAGGACGGGTGGAAGCAAGGCGACTTGTTGTGAAAGTTTTAAGAGATAATGTGGGGAGAGGGGTGAAAGTATGAGAGTGGTACAGTAGTTGGGGTCAGACTGATGCAGTTCAAGGGAAGTGGATGAGTAAGAAGTTGGGGAGGGGACAGTTTAGTATGTATACAAGTAGTAAGTTTAGTTGGCAGTGGAAGGTGGAAATGTTGCACGTTGCAAGCCGATACGCGGCAGGGCTGCCTATAAATAGGTCTTCGTGTGTGTTCGTTCGGATCGGGCGTTCGGATGGGGTCGATCGTAGCAGGGATGATACACAGTGTGTAAACGATGAAAGCGTGTGGACACGTACTGGACGAGGTGAGGATGAGGTTTTCCGATAAAAGCGTGGGGACACGTACAGAACGAGGTGATGATGAGTTTTCCGGACGATGATGCAGAGAGGGTTGAAGTTTTGGGCGCAAGTCGGTGCGGTGCGGAGGGAGGAGTCGAGGTTTGTATTATGATATAATTAAAACCAAAAAAAAAAAACATTTTTTTTGCGGTTGTTGCAGTGTGTTCCGCTGTTGTACCCCCTGCGGGCACGTCGCGTATGCGTGGAATTATTTTAAGCAAGCAAGCAAGCAAGCAGAAATAAAATTCAGTACGAAGGCATGGATGAAAGGTTTTCATGTACTGTACAGAGTACATATTTAGAAAAAGCCTATTTCTTCTCCGAGCACCGCAGTGTACACTCTCAGTACCCGAAGGGTACAGTGTAGCACGCAACCCAAAATTAGGGCGGAAATCAGCGCATGACTGCCAGATCGCGCGCAAATGCAGAAAAATCTGCGTCCCTTAAATCCCCTAAATCCCCAAATACGCCCTTCTGTACTGCTGTACGCCTCCTCTTTGTCCTCTGTGTCCGTGCTCTCGCGAGACCGCCAGCTAATCCCCCTCTTGTCACTTTAAAATAAACTCATTTTATCTTTTCTTCTTCTTCTTGCGCCAACACCACCGAAAAACCCCACAAAAAAACCCCACCTCCCCGGCATTCACCTCCCCGGCATTCACCTCCTCCGCTCCCTACCGCCCCCGTCCCGCCCCTTCCGCCTCCTCCTCCCCCCTTCCTCCACATCCCTTCCCGCGCCCTGCCTTCCCGCGCCCTGCCTTCCCGCGCCCTGCCTGCCCGCCGCCACGCGGTCGAACACGCACAAAATCTCCACATGATCGCTCCCAGGGAACAGCACCATCGCGTGCGCCGCGTGCACCTTCCACTCGCCGCCATCCACGAGCGCCCTGCTGTCCCGCTGAAACGCCTCGAACCCGCAGCTCACGTAGATCACCCGGTGCAGCCTGTCCCTGCCGTCCGGCCGCGCGAGGAACTGCACCAGCCCCTCGGAGAGCCCGCCGCGCGGCGGGTCCACGATCACCACCTCCGTCTCTCCGTCCACCATGTCCGCCGTATCCTCGTCGCTGCCCACCACATACCGCACCTCCGCCGCCGCCCGCGCCCCGTCCTTGTCCATCCCGCGCACCGCCTGCCAGAACAGCTCCTCGGCCGCCGCGTTGATCTCCGACGCGTATAGCGTGCGCAGCCCGCGCTCCTTCAGCGCCACCAGCCCCATCACCCCCACCCCGGCGCAGAACTCCGCCACGCGCGCCCCGCGCGGCACGTACTCCAGTAGCTTCGGCAGCAGCAGCGTCTCGAACGCGTCCAGGTTCGCCTGCCGGAACGCAAACGGCTGAAACGCAAACTGCACCCCGCACACCGACTCCACCAGGTCGTGCGCCCCGTGCATGTGGTAGAACCGCCCGCGCCCGGGCGCCACGATCGCATTCCCGCCCGACCGGTTCCAGTTGAACCACACCGAGTGCAGCTTGCGCGCGTGCCCGCCCTTCCACAGCGCTGCCCCGGCGTTGCGCGCGGACGGCAGCGCCCCCTTCCAGTTCCCGGCGTTCCACACCAGCGTCACCTGCACCGTGCCCGAGGGGCGGTGCAGCGTCAGCAGCACGTACCGGCAGTCCCCGTGGCCCGTCACGTCGTTGTACGCCGACACGTGAGCCGCGTCCAGCGCCACCTCCACTGCGCGCGCCGCCTCGTTGAGCGCCGGATGGTGCACTGCGCACGACGGGATCGGCACCAGGTCGTGCGACCGCGCCCGGAAGAGCCCCACGCGCGGCGGCCCCGACCCCCCCGTCCGTCGCACGGCCAGCTTGGCGTGCGTGCGCCACCCGTGCGACGCCCCGCTGCTCACCGACGCGAACCCCGGCGCGTGGTGCAGCGCCCGCTGCAGGAACCCCGCGGCGTGCGACAGCACTGGTGGCGACGAGACCCGCGTGGACAGGGAACACCCTGGGCAGTCGGAGAAGTGCGGGCACACGATCGAGTCAGGGGGAGGGCTCGGCGCTGGGGGGGACGCCGCCGTGGAGGCCGTGTGCTGGAAGAGCGTTCCCGGCGTGGCGAGGAAGCTCCCGCTGCATCGCGGGCAGCGAACCGTCAGGGGGGCCGTGAGAGCATTGGCGAGGTAGGCGGTGGGGCACGTCGGGCAGAGGATGTAGAGCGGCGTGGAGGAAGGGAGGGTGGCGGGGGCGGGGGAGAGGGTGAGCGGCTGTCCGGTGGAGAAAAGAGTGACGCGGCGTGGGGCGGTGGGGGCGGGGGTTGTGGGGATNTGTCGGGGGGCGGGGACTTAGCGACTGTGAGGGGGAGGCGTGGGGTGCAGTAGGGGCCGCGAGGGCGGCGGGGGAGGCGGAGGACGAGTGGGGATGGGGAGAGGAAGGCGGGCGGCATGGGGGGCGGAGGGAGTTGGCGGGGGACGGGGGTGGAAGCAGAGGGTTGGGGGCGGGCGGCGGGGAGCAGTGCGGTCGGTGGCGGCGACGGGCGCAGCGGCCTCACGTTTGATTTCGCGGGCGGCCGAAAAACAGCGCAACGCAGAGGCCGCCGCCACCCACCGCCGCATCGCCCCGAAAATTTTCCGAATTTTTGAACCCCTTGTTAACTCCGCTCCACCGCCCACCTGCAGGCCGTCCCCCTCTCCCACCGACCCGTCCTCCCTTGTCGTCCCCTGTCGTCCCCACCGCCCCTTCGCGACATCCGCCCACCCTCGACTCCCCGCCCCGGCGTCCCTACCATCCTTACCCGTGTCGTCCCCAACCGCGCACTACACCCCGCGCAATACGGACGTAATACGGACGCACACCTCGACCCCCGCCGCTGCTTGCACGCGACCACGTCGGAAACTACTCACCCCCGTCTTGCATACGCAAGCCCCAAGTCCTTGACTCCCGCTTCGCTTCGCTACAAGTCGTCACATGGATAAACGGTACGTGCTTGCCACACACTTCCCCGCACCGCATCTCCCCTGGTCGAGTGCGTTTTTCGAAAGGGGCACCCTTTGGGAGCCGTTTTTGACGCCTCGCGTCCTCGTTTTTGGAGCCTGTATCTCGTCGTTACTGACCGCGTGCCTTTCGTCATATGCTTCAATGCGTTTCTCCTCGTTTCGATTTTTTTTTCTTTTTCGTTTTTGCGTCTTTCCCACTTCTGCTTGCTACGCAACCGCAGCGCTGGAAAGTCCAGTAAGGACACCCCTGATGAGCGAGACGCGCTCGATCTCGACTCGATCATAGGAAGACTGTTAGAAGTTCGCGGCCAACGTCCAGGGAGGCAAGTCAACCTTCAAGAGCATGAAATCCGCGGCCTGTGTATGCGTGCAAGGGCCGTTTTTCTGCAGCAGATGCCGCTTTTGGAGCTGGATGCCCCCATCAAGATTTGTGGTGACATCCACGGACAGTATCACGACTTGCTGAGGCTCTTTGAGTATGGTGGCTTTCCCCCCGATGCAAACTATCTCTTTCTTGGTGACTATGTCGACCGCGGCAGGCAATCCATCGAGACCATTTGTCTCTTGCTGGCCTTCAAGGTCCGCTACCCAGAAAACTTTTTCATCCTCCGCGGAAACCATGAATGTGCAAGCATCAATCGTATTTATGGTTTTTATGACGAGTGTCGTCGCAGGTACAATGTCAAGCTCTGGAAGACCTTTTGCGACGTTTTCAACTGTCTTCCCGTCGCCGCCATCGTAGACGAAAAGATCTTTTGCACTCATGGCGGCCTCTCCCCTGACCACACCTCGATGGAGCAGATTCGACGAATAATGCGGCCTACCGACGTCCCCGATCAAGGCTTGCTTTGCGATCTACTCTGGTCGGATCCGGACAAGGAAATCAGGGGTTGGGGCGAAAACGATCGTGGCGTCTCGTTTACTTTCGGCTCAGACATCGTCTCGAGGTTTTTAACTCGGTTTGATTTGGACCTCGTCTGTCGTGCGCATCAAGTCGTCGAGGATGGATACGAGTTTTTCGGCGATCGAAGACTCGTCACCATCTTCTCCGCTCCCAATTATTGCGGAGAGTTTGACAACGCTGGCGCTATGATGAGTGTCGACGAAACCCTGATGTGCAGCTTCCAGATTCTCAAACCAGCCGACAAGAAGACCATCACGCCAAGAAACTACAACTCGCAATCTCGATGAAGCCCAGGGGGGAAGGTGGTATGACCCGGCCACGGGGGAGTTGGAGGGGGTGGCGTGCCGGGGGCGGACACAGATGGAGGAATGGGGTGTGCCTCTTTGGAAGATGGAAAAACCTAAGATCCCTTACATGTGCGTTTTTATATGCGTTTTGCTCAGTTCTACCAACGTTTCACTCCTACTTTGGAAAAGCACACACACACACACACACACACACACACACACACACACACACACTCAAACAGATACAACACAAACAGACACAAACAGAAACAAACACGGACATACACACAAGTAGACTGCATTCTTAGAAATCTCGCCGACGGGGAACGGTGTGAGCGTTTGACGGTGGTTAAATTATCACTTACTCGTGCTGAGCTCCAAAATGCTGGCGCGCGCTAGAGGTACACTGTTATGGAAGCTTTGCACACCGATCGTGTAACGCTGGGTACTTATGGTGGACACGCGGATTGGTGCACTGGAGTGCAGAAAGAAAGGCAAATACATTAAAGTTCTTAGTAGCGCCGGACGAATAATATCTACCTAATCGTTCTTATCCATCTTTTCATAAGGCACTGAGAGCGATTTGTGCGAGTTGAGAATACATTTTACACACTTGCTGGTATAGTCCAGGCTTCTTGCGCTACAACAATCTAGGAGTGTCATCATCCGTCGACAAGGCTTATGCACAACCCGTACACATGCCACACAGTAGGACCCTTGTGCCTCGGCATTTTTCGCGAACAATGCCGTAACATTTGCACAAGTGTGCTGCCTTCTATCCAGCCCCCCACAAATTCGTCACGGCCGGCATCTAATAGTTAGTTGGTGAGTCAATGAACATCTCGGAAAGTTGACTACAGGGTCTCAAAATCTGCTCTCCATATAGAGATTTCGTGCTGCTTAAAGTACCGTCTATCGTCCTCGTCGACAAGAACTAGGTTGAGGTAATACTTGACAGAGAACTTTTGGTTGACAGATCGATACGTTGGTGTCAGGGCCTTGCAGGCCGAGAGAAACATGCGGACGGGGATACTCTCCCCTCGCACGGGAGCGCCATCCATGACCTCGAATTTCATGACAGTATCGGTTTCGTTGTAGACGTTTGCGCCCGACCCGGCAGATTCCCGCTTGCGAATTTCCACTTCCATGCGTTTTAGATTGATTCTCACAAGCAAGAAGTACACCTTACCTATGACGACGTCGCGGAGATGAAACTTGCTCTTGTTGTATTCAAACTCGATATGAAGTGCGTCCTCGATGCCAACCTCCATGCGGATAGGACTATTTGCATTCGGATCTTGATCGCAGTGCTGCACGCAAATATCAACTTCCTTAACGACATCGGGTGTGTATTGAGCTCTAAGCACAGTGACTCGCAAAAAGTACCGCAGGCGTACATTGATACCCGAGTACGTGTCAAAGGTCTTTTCGACGTTGGTGAACTGGAATGCGTACTGAGACTGCTTGGTCAAAGTGCCCGGATCGTCCAAATGGCGAACGAGGGAGGTAAACTCCTGAGAATTCTCGCGATCGTAGAGCATTTCGATGGAACCGATGAATTCAACTTTCACGCCGCGATGTTGAAGTTCTTTGCCATCCTTGATCGAGATGGTGACGCGTCCGGCAACTGTCTCGTCTTCGGTGTACAAGGGCAGTGCTTCAACTTTGTCATTTGGCTGCTTTGCCCCGCCATGCACACCTGATGAAGACTGATTTTGGTTGACGTAGCGTCGCGTAGACGCGTCGTCAAGGTCAACAGATATTTCACAGGGGAAGCCCAACCCTAACAGACCCAGTGCCGCATCCATCTCGCTATGGTCTGTGCAACTCTCCCAAGCAGTAATTGCGCTGTTCGTGACCACGTTAGACGGCGCTAGTGATGCTCGGAATTGACGAAAGCGATGAATGACTGTGCTTTCTAGTGGTCATGAACGACAAAAGTAGCAATTCCGCAACTCCGCGCCAGAGTGCCCCGGAGTAGTTGAGCTTTCTGCGTCGCGATTCGATTTCCGGCAAGGACCTTGTTGTGTGCTAACCACGTTCGTCAGCACATCAGATTGCGCACATCGCAAATCGAAAGAAGGGTTAGGACGATGGCGGACTTCTTAGCTTAGGCCGTCTTCGGCAGGGCGAACAATTTGCGCATCTACTGTACAGTGCCGTACCTACTCCAAGGTTAAGGCATGATTGTGTTCTGTGACTGTTGACAAAACGGCCAACGCTCTTTCTTCATAAATATGGCGAAAAAATGGACTCTCCATAAAATTTCATCGGTTTTTGAGGAACTGGCTTCCAACAGCCAAAGGTCCGACTGGTCGCCTAAAACTACCCGCGATATCGAGTCACATATAGCATCAAGTCCAAATAAAAACAAGTGACCTCCCATTCACTCAAATATGGAAAGGAACGGCCTCGTTTTTCTCATGTGCATGTGTAGCCGACCGTGGTTCAGGTTTATAAATTTATGCTCTTGACGTACAAATATAATGTACTTCTACATGGTTACATATCGTTAGCCTTTCGATCCTTTCCAGAGCTGCAACAGGTTTCTTGCATTTGCAGTGCAGCTGTAGTCAGGAAAACTTGTCTCTTGAAAATGCTTGCTATTTGAAGGTGAAAGAACTCCCTTGCAAGACATTAAAAACTGTTTCTGTGGCAGACCGCGGTTCGCTACATGGGATAATCAGCCTCTCCGCCTCGCAATAAATCATATCGATAACTTGTTGAACACTGCACTGTTAAGCGTTTCATTCAAGCCTGCCATTCATACCACTTGCCTGTACCGGAAGCTGCCGTAGGGTGGCATGTTAAGCTCATTAAGTGTCCTAATACCACGACAGGTGCATTATCATCGAGTGCGCTACTGTTACATTGTACTGTAGCACCAAGGATAGATAAAGGCTCGGTGCCAAAGATAACCGTGCAAGTCTATCTGGACGGGAAGGATAAGGTTTCATTCGAAGTTGTTCAGAATGCAATTTCATTTACAGAACGGAGCATAACAATGAGGGATTCCGAATAAAAGAGGGACAAGCTTTGGCACAACCTGTTGCCGCGTGCAGCAGCAGATCTTGATTCTACAGATAAATAAGGGCTGACTCTACGGACCAAAGGGCATGAGAGAAACAAAATAAGGCACTACCCCACTAACTGCCCTTCAGGCTTCTATGAGAGCAGATGTTATGTCAACAATGTACGGTATCTACGGCACCACATGCATTCATGCAAGCAAGCAAACGAAGACGCAGTATGCGGCCCCAGACAAGCATTCCACAATAGGTAAAGACTGCGACCCACGCACTAAGCCGGCACGAGATCACGCCGACGCTGCCGAATCACCGCCCCGCTCTCGTAACTTTTCTCCCCGTTGCGGCGGCATCTTGACGATACTCGCCGCAATCTTTCTCGCGCGGGTGTCGGCATCCTCTGAAATCACGGCCCCTCTGCTTTGCACCCTCTCTTTGAACCTACGAAGCCTGGGGCCCAGACTGGCGTCAACGGCGGCCCCAAACGCGACCGAGCGCTCGCGCATCGTCTGCACCGCCGTGGGGCTAAAATACACGTAGAGCCCGCCTGCCAGGCCCACAGCAGCCACAAACGAAGTGGCGACGCCAAACGAGGCCATGCCAAGCACAGCTCCGTCCCCGTACCGCTCCGCGCCAGGCAGGGGCATGGCCGTCTGCTTCGGAAGTGACGAGTAAATATTAAGCCTGGAGCTGCCCAAGGCCCTGAGCACGTGCGGATCGGCGACCTTGGGCGCGGGTCTCGGCTTGCGCTCGAAGGCCGCGGCGGCGGACGCGAGGCGATTGAACAGCGGGCGGGGCTTTTGGGCCGTCGGGGGGGCCCGCGGTTGCTTGAGAAGCGTGCGGTAGGCGGAGTGGCCGGAGATTTCGGCTAGGGTGTCGACGGATGGCGGAGGAGTCGGGGCGGATTTCGCTGATGCGATGTCGGCAGGGGAGAGGGAGGCGCGCAGCTTGGATGCTTGCTGCTGCTGCTGGTCCTTGAAGAAGGAGCCCTCGGAGGCACGCCCGCGCGCCGCAAGGCGAGAGAGGTTGAGCCCACGCATTTTGACGAGGGCAGCGGGAAGGGCAGGGGGAGGTGGATTTGCGCTGGTTAGATGGGGAAAGTGACCGGTGGTTTGAGCCGAGGGGATGTCGGGGGGGGGGGGGGGGGGGGGTGCCATGCGGGGCAGGGTGGACGTGACACGTGCCCATTCGAAGGGCAGGCCTGTGGCGGGAAAGGCCAAATTTCAAATGCAACGGGCAGATCGCGCGCGCCGCATTTAAAAATCCAATCTGTGTGCCTTGGGCTCGTCGACCTCCCCATCACCCATCGGCGACATTCCCATTCCCCCCGCACACGATGTCCACGCACGGCCGCAAAGTGCGACCACACTCGCACCGCGCGCGGCGCGCGCACGCGGCGGCGGCGCCGCGCCACAGCCTGGGGCCGCTGTCCGCGGCGACGCTATCCAGCTTCCGCTGCCCGAACCGGCAGGAGTTTCTGCGCGCGTTCGCCGCTGGCGACGGCGCGCGCGTGCCCAAGCCGCGCGTCCGCGCGCGTTCGATGGCCGCCACGGCCGCGTTCGAGCGCGGTGTCGCCGCGGAGGAGGCGAAGCGGCAGGGCGCGGGCGAGGACAGCGACGAGGGCATTGCAGCGCACTTGGGAGCAGGCTTGCTGGACGCCATGGACCGCATCGAGGAGACGCCCGAGCTGCGCGCGATCGCGTGCTGGCTGGACGATGTCAGGAGCAGGCACAACTTTCCGATTGACGTGACGGACGCAGATTTGACAAACGGAATCGCGCTGCTCGACGTGTTGTATGTGATTGATGAGAAGCTGTTTGCGGAGGTGGAATATCCCGACGGGGCGCGGGCACCGCGCCCGTATGTGATGAGAGAACTAGATGAGAGCGGGATGAACGCGGAGCGGAACCGCCAAGTGCTGCGGCGGATGCTGACGATATATCCGTGGAAGGATATCGACGACGGATGCAAGGTGCTTAAAGCAGTGGATTTTAACCGGGTGGATACGTGGGGATTGGCGGGGTTTGTAGTGCTGGCAGCGTACTTGAGTGAACACGGGAAGGAATTCGCATCGCAGATGATGGGGTATGAGGAGTGGGTGTCTGGGGCGCTAGAGGACGTGCTGTGCCGTGGGTTGGAGCTGTTAGGCGGGAGGCCGCGACAGGCTACTGCACGCGTGTGCGAGGACACGTCAATCGCGACGAGCACGGTGTCGGATGCGACGACATGCTCCCTCGGGGCGGAGGGCGATGCGGATGGAGCATTGTATTGGCGGAAGCGGGCGCGAGAGTGGGAGAAGATGCTGCGGATAGAGGAGAAGGAGAAGGCGGATTGGGAGCAGCGGGCGAAGGATGCGGAAGGAAGGGCTGAGGCGTGGGAAGTGGCGCACGCGGAGATGGAGCGCGAAGTGGCGCGGTTGACGGGGGAACTGGGAGATTTGATGGCGGAGGCGAGGAAGACTCGCGGGAGAAGAGGGGTGCTGACGGAGAAGAACGGGGGGAGGGATGTCAAGACGGTGGGGAAGGCGGTGACGCAGCTGCGAGTGGATAATGCGCAGCTAAGGAGGAGGGTCGCGGACGTGGAGAAAAGGAATGGGGAGATGGAAAGGGAAGTCGCGAGGGTGAAGAGGGAGGCGAGGGGAGCGAGGGGAGCGAGGGGGAGGAGGGTGGCCGGGTGAGCGACGAGCAGCGGTGAACAGGAGTAACGTCTATGGCAGTGCTGTGCAGCACGTAGACGCGAAACAGGGGGCAGGTCTAGAAAGCGGCAGGTCAGGTCAGGGGCTTCTGATGTCAGACTGTCAACAGTCGAAGGTGGCTCGATGGCGGTGCCACGTGTCAGTGGCACTACTCATCGCCACGGTGCGCGCCTCCAGACGCTGGGCCAGAACCAACTGCAGCCGCATGCTGCTTCTTCCCCTGCAATCTCATTGGCTCTTTCCATCAAATCTCATCATTGTTATTGTCATCACGTAACCGCGCCGGGTAGAACCGTCCGCATTCAAGAGTCCTGCTGTTCTGTCCAACGTACAGTAATTTTACCCTTCCCAAACTTTCAAAACAACCCGCCCACCCCCACACCTCACGGGCTCATCCCACCCCCGCCTGCCGTCCCACCCCGATCCCCCCCCCCCCCCCCCCCCCCTCCCCAACTTTAACCATGTCCAAGCCCGCCGTAGTCATAGACAACGGGTCCGGCCGCTGCAAAGCTGGCCTGGCCGGCGAAGATGCCCCGAAGGCCGTCTTCCCGGCCGTGGTCGGCCGCCCAAAGGTGAAGGGCGTCATGCTTGGCGCCAACACCAAAGACGAGTTCATTGGCGAGGCCGCCATGGCCCGCCGCGGCGTCCTGCTCATCAAGTATCCGTTGGAGCACGGCATCGTCACCAACTGGGACGACATGGAAAAGATTTGGGCCCACGCCTTCACCGGCGAACTCCGTGTCGACCCCCAGGAGCACCCGGTTCTGCTTACCGAGGCCCCTTTGAACCCCAAATCAAACCGCGAGAGGATGACCCAGGTCATGTTCGAGACGTTTATGGTCCCGGCCTTTTTTGCAAACATCCAGGCTGTGCTCAGCCTGTACGCCTCCGGCCGTACCTCGGGCATTGTCGTCGACTCGGGCGACGGAGTCACGCATACCGTTCCCATATACGAGGGCTACTCGCTCCCGCATGCCATTAATCGACTCGACTTGGCGGGCAGGGACCTCACCGCTTGGATGGCTACCCTGCTGCAGCAGCGCGGCTATTCATTTACCACTTCAGCCGAGCTTGAAATTGTGCGTGACATCAAACAGAGCCTGTGCTTCGTCGCCAAGGACTACGAGGCTGAGGACGCAAAAGCCGACGCCAACCCACAGCTTGAGAAGGAGTACGAGCTTCCGGACGGCCAAGTTATCACCGTGGGCGCGGAGCGCTTCAAATGCCCCGAAGCTTTGTTCAAGCCCGAGCTCATCGGTCTCGAGGTCTCGGGTATGCATGAGACTGCTTTTGACTCGGTGAATAAGACGGATATTGATATCAGAAGGGATTTGTACAAGAGCGTCGTCATGTCGGGAGGCTCCACCATGTTTCCGAATATTGCCGACAGACTCAGCGAGGAGCTGCTCAATCTTGCGCCAAAGTCTGTCAAGGTCAAGGTCATCGCCCCGCCGGAGCGCCAATACTCAGTTTGGATCGGGGGCTCTATTCTTGCATCGCTGTCCACCTTCCAAAATATGTGGGTCTCTAAGAGCGAGTATGACGAGATGGGGCCGTCCATCGTTCACCGCAAGTGCTTCTAAAGGCCTAGGAAAGAGTTTGCGCTCTGAGGCCAGCTCCAGGCTTGAAGAAACGGTCCAAAGATACACATTCGCTCAACTTTCAAACTTTGACTACATCGCATCTCAAACGATAAACCCTGCAATCTAATTTCTAACTTTCTTTGCCATTGCCGCATCTCTTCAGAAGACGCATTGTGCTCACGCTCGATACGGTGGCCGTTGTTCATTTCCTCGCTTAGCGCTACGTAACGCACCAACTACTGAAGGGACGCAGCAGTTGATTTCTGGTAGATCGTTCCGGCCAAATTGCTGGAGATAGAGCTCGAGTTTAGCACGGGTCCGAAGAGCTCTACACTCTGCGGATAGAGCATTTAGACGCTTGCTAAAGACTGCCCGACATGCCCCCTTCTCCCTGTTATTTCTCGGAAAACGTCTATGGAGCAAGTCGCGTGGAAGGCAAAAGGCTACGCTTTGAGAAATGAGCTACTGTAGGTTAAAGATATCCGCAGACAACAAGGCTTCACAAATGAACAGGTGACGTATGAAACGCATCGCGTTGTTGCTCTTTCGCCGCGCAATTAGCCGGCAAGTATGTCTTCTGGGAGCCATTCAAGCATATCGTTAAGTCATCGCGACATTGATACACACTCCGTTGTGGAATCTCAAGACTTTAGTGCTCACAAATCCCGCTCAGATGGTCAACCATACTCTGGCCTTTTAAACAACTCCTGTGTTCTGCCGTACTGTTCTACTTTCATTTTCTGTCCTCCAAGATGCGTATTGCTCTTTTCAGTAACTGCTTTTGCTGTCCTTTGAGTCGTGGTCGCATTTTGCTCCGAAGGAACAACCCCAAAGACACACGAAACGCATCTGCTCCGTTCCAGGTCTCAGATATCAGTTTCTCAAACGGTGCTCCTGCGCTGTCCTCACCATCCGACACCAATTTCGAGAACAGTATGTCCATAGCTTCGACATAAAAGGCGACTTCGTCTTCACCGCACTCTTCAAAATCTTGCGCATATCGCAACACAGACAGGGAAAGGGCTTGCGAGTACCAAAGATGTGCCAGCAAGTGTTCAAAATTCCGCGCTCTCCTCTGGGACATCGGTTTTGCCTTCTCACTTCCCGGTATTGATTTGAAGATATCCCAGCATGCAAATTCAAACGTGAATCGAGAGCGTCGTGCTCGTTTGCACATTCGTTCTGCGAGGTAGGCGTAGAATGGATTGAATATTTTCTCTGACCCGCAGCAATGTAAGATGACAATCGCTGTGTCGCGGTCGTGGTGCTTTTTGGAGTCGAATGCGGACATGTCTTGAAGGCGTTCGTATGCCTCAGAAACGCTGGGACTTGCCATGATCGCTTTGAAGAGGTCTTTTCGGCGTCCGGTGGTGAGTCGAAGCGAAGAGGCAAGTCTGTTAATGTTGGGCTCGTTGCCTCGACTATTCTTCATCTCTGTTCCTGGAACGCTTTCTTCGCCCTCATCGGACGCCTGAACGCTCTTGACCCCGTCCGCATCCCACCATCTGGTGCTCGTAAAACTGTCGTTTAGAAGATCAGAAAGCGATGCCGACAGCGGTGGGTCTGGTGCTTCTACCCATGCATGTTTCGCATTAGCCGCTTGCAGGGCCGAGCGCTTCATCTTGTTATTCTTGATGTCGTCAATAAGTTCAAGCATGATTTGAAGCTTCAATTTTACTGATTCTTCAGCTGTTGTATCCAAACAGTTTGTGACTTTATCAGCCTGGTCGTGGATGAATTCAATCATATCTTTGAGGGATTTGGGATCATCCTGTCGCAGCATGGGCCCCACTTGCCGTAGCAACGCGAGCAGAAGGCCGAGTCGTTCCGAACTTAGCGACTCGCCAACCGTTCTGACCAAATCGTAAACGATGGTGCACGACACTGCGCGCCGCTCGTACAACGACACCAGCAAAGCGGTGTAGCCATAGACGTCACTCCGGTTGGGGCCGTCATTCAGTAGCCCGCTCTCCGCCTCGAGCATAGGCAGCTCGCTGTGAAACCTACGTACAGCCGACACAAGAAGCGAGGCCAGCACGACGCGGCTCACGCGACTGGAGACGTGCGTTGCGATGGAGGCATGTGACTGCAGATAGGGATTGATGTAGCCCACGCCGGACCCATCCCGCACAGCGTCTAGAGTGCATTGCGCGTAAGTTTCGGCGACGCTTTGCGTGGTCGACGCTGGTTGTCGGTCTTCGAAGATTCGAATTATGGCTGCCGCTATGCTGCTCGCATTGGCCTCTGCCACGCGATTGAGGAGGCCGCGCATTCTCCTTTTCACTACGGTGGCGGAATCGCCTCGGCCTCTCGCGCTCGGCGGGACGTATTTCTTCGGTGCGGGTTTCGACTCTCTCTTATCCTTCGGGTGCACCAGACGTTGTGGAATAGGGATATCCATCCCAGGCTCTGGCTCGCTCTCGTTGTCGCTTTCTTCTGGGCTCCCATCGTTGGCATCATTATCAGACGGAACGGATATATTAGGTTGGAGAAGGTCTGCGTCATCCTCCGACTGTTCTGCTTCCGAAACGGAGTAGTCCTCTCCTTCGTCTTCCCCGCCTTCCTCGTCTCCCTCCGCGCCCTCCACCCCCACCGAGTTCCGCCTTGTGACGGTCCTATCGCAAAACTCGAGCAAGTCTACAATATCGTCCTCGTCCCCAAACGCATCGCCGTACGCGAACGACGCGCCCTTTGCCACCATGCGCCTCTTCTTGCGGCGAATGCCGAGTAACTTTTCCAATCTCCTGGCCTCTCGCGCATCCGGATCATCGGGCAGACCATTCCCCGCCTCTGCCCCTACCCCGTTCTTTTCCTCCGCCCCTCCCCTTCCCTTTCCGATGTTCTGCGGGTTGGGGTCCCCCCCGTGCGGGCGCTTGGGCGGGCGCTGCGGCTCCCCTTTCGCGGCGAGGGGCGGGGCCATCGGGGCCGGGTTTTCCTCCTTCCCTGCTTCCGCGGCCGCGTCATCGCTTCTAGCTCTCCCCCTCGCGGGACGCGCGCCGCGCTTCTTCTCGCGGCGGTCGCGCTTGCGCCTCGCCTTGCGGAGCGCGGCGTGCGTCTGCGGCGCGCCGGCCGGCGCGGCCTCGTCCAGATGCAGCTCCGTCTGCAGCGCGGCCGGCAGCGTGGTCTGCGGGTCGCGTGTGTCGCGGGTGCGCTTGAAGCGCGGGTGCGACGGGCGGCGGCGCATGGCGCGGGGTGGCGAATGGCTGCGGCGAGGTCGTGGCGCGGCGGGACGACGGATGGGACGACGGGCGGGGGCGCCGTTAAAGCGCACGGGACGGAGGGAGGCGGATCAGAGCGGGGCATTGCTGGCCAGGGGATGTGGAGGCGCATAGATCCGGGCGCACGTGGCAACGTGTACACCCGCTCCCGCTCCCGCCCCGCCGCGCGCCCGCCGCGCGCCAAGTGTCCCGAAACTTCCCCCGCCCGGCCATTACAGAGCTGACAGCAGGCCGGATCCGATCCGCCTCAGGGTTCTGGACTACCAATCACGGCGCGCCGGCTGCCACTCTCCACCGCAATTCCCTCTGTTCGCCGCGCAAAAATCTCCCCCTCGCAACGCCGCTGCGGAAGCCGTAATATCGCGCGACCGCCTCCTTCCGTTTCGCCCCAAAACGCCCTCCCCCGCGTCAACCCCGCCCTCGTCACGTCAGCTCCGTCGCCCGCAATGTCCGCCTTCGCTCCGCCGCTGTCGCTCGCGCGCGCGCCGCCGCGCCGCGCCGTCGCGCGCCGCCCGCGCTCCTTGCCGCGCTACACACCGGCGCCGCCTTGCCCGCGGCGCGCCGCCCCGCCGTCCGCGGTGCACACGCCGCCGCCGCTGTCGCCGGCGCCTTCCGGGCGCACGGCGGACTACCACGCGAACGTGGGCTCTGTCATCGACCATCTGCGGCATTTCTACCCGCGGCTGCTGCTGCACGAGCCGGACCTGTTGCACTACGCGCCGCACCTGCTCTTCGCCGACTCGACGGGGTACTGCGTGCAGGGGCACGACGCGTACCGTGCGGCGTTCTGGATGCTGCGCGCCCAGGCGCGGGTGTTCTTCAGCTCGGCCGCGGTGTCCATCACCAGCCTGTACTACGACGACGCCATGGGTATGATTTACCTCCGGTGGCGAGTCAGCGCGTCGCCCCGCGCCTGGGTTCTCATGGGGTCCGGCAGGAGGGGGCCCGTCGTTCTCGACGGGCTCAGCGTTTACACGCTCGACCGCACAGGGTTGGTTGCCGTGCATCAATTGGAGAGTAACTCCCGCAGAAGGTCTGGACTGCGCCATATGTTTGAGGACATTCTCGCTGTCGGCACCGTCCGCGTGCCCGGGACGCCAGCCGGCGCGGGTGTTGGGTCCGGCGGGTCGGGCCTCCCGCCGTGGTTTAGGAGCGTGTTTGAGCCGCTTGAATTTGTCGCCGTGTCGGAGGAGGAAATGGAGTGCGAGGAGCACTTACTGCCCCTGGAGGACGAGTTGTTTATTAAGTAGAAGGTGGTGTGTATGTGTGATTGTTTTTTTTTTTGATTGCGTATTTGGTCCTTGTGCGTGTTCCGCCCAAGGGGTTGGGTCTAGGTGCGATGTGGCTGTACTGTTGTTATTTGGTTTTTTATGCGGCGGGAGTCGTAGGGTTGGGATGTCGCCTCGGCTGGTAGGTAGCGGGAGAGGCGACGTGGAGCAGGCGGCGATGTAGTATACGGTTTGATGGCAAGCTGTTGATATATGATGCTGTTGTAGGTTGGTGCTGTAGATAAATCGTATTTGTTTATTGAGGGATGATCGTCTCCTTGGCGGAGTCGTTGGAACAGGGTATCGCGGTGCTTGCCAAACTGTTTCTATTGGATGTATACGGGCATGCCTAGTCGCGATGGGCACAGCAGGAGCCGAGGCAGTGTTCAGCAGACAAAGTTGAAGCCCTTGCGCGTTTCTTGAAATTGTTGTTTCGTTTGCCGCTTACAGATCATTCCCTACGCGCCCGCAGATACGTACGCCGGGAAACTGGAAACCGTACCGATGCCACGGTTGTTGAAAGATCTGGTATGGGAAAGGTCGTGCCCTTTCCATCGACGTGACAGCGACAGCAAAGACGTGCTTAAAACATCCACCGCGTGTCTGTTGATATCAACAGACACGCGGTCGATGTTTTAACTGTTGCTATCAATAGCAACAGTCAACAACGGATTCTTCAGAGGCGTGCTTGTTCAGTCGCGCAGGTTTTATACGCTACCCTTTGTATATCATCAAAACTGCACGCACCATCGTTACTGCGTCCGAGATCCACCGCCGCAATTGGCCTATTTTTCTGCCCGCACCCTCTCCTGAAACTCCACTTGTCCGCCTATGCTTGGTCTCTAGACCTGCGCGGGAGCAATCTCGATCCCATACATGCCCATCCTCAATCAATCCTCCCTTCTTACCTAGCTCGCCTTCTCCGCCGCATTCTTCCCGTCCCAACCCCCACGCCATGCCTTCTATCCCCGCCTTCACCGCGCCGGTGCCGTGCGCTCTGCGCGGTACATCCCGCACGGTGGCCATCTCTCCACGGCGCGCTCTGCCGGCGCGATCGCTGCAGCGCCGCGGCGTCATGGCCGTCGCCAGCGGCGAGCCCGTCACGGCCGCGGAGGCGCCCATGGGCGAGGTCGACGGCGTCGACGTTGTCATCAGCCCCGGGGCAGACGTGGCGCAGTCATCCATCCAGACGCTGACCGACATCGAGGAGATCATCGCGCTCGTCGACGAGTTCGACCTCAGGGACTTCCGGCTCGCCGACAAGGGCGTCGCCGTCGAGATCTCCCGCGCGGGCGGCAGGGGCTTCGAAGACGGCAAGCTCGCGCGCCCGGTTCGCGCCGCTGAGGGGGCCGTGGTGTATGAGACGCAGGAGCCGGGCGTGGTTTATGAGGACGAGGCCGTGACGCACGACGAGGGCGCAGTGGTGGATATACCAACCGTGGAGCAGGGCAAGCCGGACCCTACCGGCGATCCAGAGACTGTGTATGACTCTGACTTTGTGGTCATGTCGAATCGTGTGGGCTTCTTTTATAGCGGCGCTAAAAACAAGCCGCCTTTGGTTAATGTGGGTGATCATGTGGACTTTAATCAACCTGTATGCATCATCGAGCAGCTGGGGCAGCAGTACGTTTATTTGTCGGAAGCATCAGGTACTGTTAATGAGATCTTTGTCGAGGATGGTGATGCCGTTGAATACGACCAGAAGGTCATGGTTATTCGCCCCGATTAACGCTAGGGTTGGCGTCAGGCGTCAGGAAAGGGGGCCCGTTTCGTGGCGACTTTTGCGTAGATTGCCATTGCGCAACAGAATGTAAAACGAAAGTTTATCACACAACATCCTCCCCGTTCACGGGTGCGTCGCCGCTCTTTACATACTTGAGAGTTGCGTGTATTGTGTTTAGACACAATTCAAAACGGTCCCATTTGCTGGTAAACCGAGGCGGAAACACCCGGGATCTCATCGGGCGTTTGGCCTTTGGCATTAGTGATAACGGCATACATAATGGCAAACGAAATAGCGTAAAACACGGCGGTACTACATACTTCTACAACAGAGCCGGGGATAACGCCTCCCGTATTGATGCCCTGAAACAGCTGTGGAAAGATGAGGGCGATGTCCAAAATGAGGGCCTGGTACGTATTGAACCGTATATACCGCGAAATGCTTGTATTCCTGACGACGAAGATGAACAGGACGATGAAGATACCAAACGCGAAGAACGGGATACCGCGGTAGATGCTGTACAACGGGAGCAGCGGACCCAGGACCAGCGAGCCGAGCAACGGGACCTTGGCGAAGACAAACTTGCCGAAGGACAGCGAGTCCAGCAGCGGGATGAGGTACGGCAGCGAGGCGAGCAGACGCTCCACGGCGGGGGCCGGGGGTGAGCCGCGGCCGCCACCGCCCATTCGCATTTGGGGGGCTGACCGGGGGGCAGCGGACGGGGCGACACGGAGAGGGATGGCGGGGAAGCGGGCGCGGGGAAGCGGGGAATTTATGCGCGTGGGCGGGCGCTTGGTGCAGGGGGCTGTGTGAGGAGAGGGGGGAAGGAACGAGGGGAGGGCCGTTGGGGGCAGGAAGGCGGGAGAGAAGGGGAAAGGCATGGTGTTGCTTGGTTCGGGACCAGTTAAGTTCAGCTTGTGGTCGGAGCAGGGATGAAAGGAGAGCGAAGAGAGGTGAAGGACGATGGAGTGTTTCATCGGAGGCACGGTCCGAGAGATCGAGTTAGCACGCTTTACAGAATAGTATGCTTACATTATATTACACGTGTGCTCGAAGAACGTCACTCCCGACCGTCACATTTCTCAGAGGATATAAAAAAATTCCCCCTTCTCAGAGGCTCGGTCATGAGAATATGAGTTGGAGGTGAATTATTCGTCCGTGCCTGCTGTCGTTTGCACCGTGATTTCTGTCACGGTGGCTGGGTCATGCTTGTGAAGAAACCACGGTCAGCTATTTAAATTTAAGACATTCTATGGGAGCACATGTGATTGGAGGACTGAGTAGGAACGGTGGAAGCGAGCAGAGCCAGATAATTGTATGGCATTGATAGGTTCAGTATATTGGCTCAGGTATGTCTTCTGTAATGCGGCAGTGAACCTTCGTGAAAAACTAAACTTTCCAATATCGATCTCCGGAAAGTTCAAACATTGCATGACAAAACCTCGTCCACACTTTTCAAAAATATTTAGTCAAAATCTCGCGCCTTCTCGAAAGCTCGAAACTTCCGGATTAAGAGTTGTGCTTCAATTTCTATTTAACTCAAGCTCCAGGTTGGTTTGCCGGAACCCTGAATCTGGGCAGCTCACTCATATAACGATATCTTGGTCTTCTACAAAGAAAGCGCCGCGTACCGCCTCTCAAAGGAACGCTGGCTCCAGCGGTACTACTTTACTTCTGCAACTGTTGTTTTTTTCATGTAGTTTCCCTTGCCACTTCGTCACCTTGTGTGAGAGCATACGTCCTGCACCCGCAATTTTCTTTCACGCATAAATCTTCTAAACCCGTGCCTTCCAGCCACCCTCGTCGCCCTTTTTCATCCTTCCAGACTATCTCCTCTCTCTTGCCATCCTGGCCTCTCCGTCTTGCTATCCGTCCCCCTCTATCTTGCCTTCGGGCCGATCTCTGTCCTCCTCTCCGGCCCCTGCTGGTCTTCAGCTCCTCTTTCTCCGATACCCCGACGCTCTCCCTCCTATTCGCTAAACTCTCGCCACTAACCCTCCTAGCTCCTTCTTCAACTCTTGCTATCTTAGTCTTTCCCATCTTGTCACCTGACCCCCTCCCTCCTTCCGCCCACTATTTCCCATCTTTCTATCTCCCACCCTCTCCTCTGTCATTCTCCCCTCACCGTCCGGCTACACTACCCCTCCCTCCCCGCCATCCCGCCCTCTCCTGCCATCCCGACCAATCTCTTTTGCCATACGACTCTCCCCCTTCTGCCATCCGTCCAGTCCCTCGTGTGCCATACTTCTAGTCCTTTGTGTGCCATCCAGCTCCCCGCCTGGTCATCTATCCCTTCTCATTCCTCTCACGACGTCCCATTTTCTTCCATTCTGCCATCTTCTCACTTTCAAAATCCCATCCCGTCCCATTTCTTTCTTATCTCGTTCCCGTTCGGGAATTCTAAATCATATCACCTTGGCATTGTGTTCTGTGATGTATCTTGAGGGCTGACTATCAAGCAAAGATTACTCTCACTAATTCCTTCAATTAATTTACATTGAAAAGATCCATGTTTTCTGTGGTATAACTACCTTCGTCCCGACCACTCGGAAACGAGGGGGTTAGAGGTAAGGGAGCGCGCGCCGCAGGGTAACCCACGCGCGAACGCAGACCGTACGGATGGACTCGAAAAGAGGGAAGGCTCACGTGGTCGGTGGCGCGCAGCCGGACGGTGGTGTTAGATCCGGACGGCCGGTCACGGGTAAGAAGCCTGAGACTAAAAGGGAAACCGGAACGGTGTTAGCACTTAGCCGTAAAGGGAAGGGAGGCGAGTCTGCCTCCTCTTTACTGAGACGGACAAGTGTCCCCGGTCCTAACCCCTAAGTGGGACGCCAGGACACCTGTCCCTCTACAGTAGTTAGCACTTACTGTGTACCAGCTACTGTACACAATTACTTAATGTGTGCCATTAACTACTACTTACTAGTTAGCCACCGTACGGATTATACACGTGTGCCCGTGGACACGATCCCGGCCAACGGTTGTGCCACATGTTACCCGTGGCCACGCCCGCTGCTACCGGCTGTCCAACGTCGGACCCTTGGGGTACTACTGTACACGGCGGCGGGCGCGTGTACGCCCGCTCGCTACAGTAGCACCCGCCCTCCCGCGCGGTTATCATCTCGCCGGGGGGTTGTGGTACGGAATTGTACTACATTTTCCTGTCCTGCTACAGTCCCGCAATTCGGAACTACATCTAGCACACTGGAAAACGGCTTGCAAGAAGTTTTAAGCAGCGCGGATCCCGAGGTTTTGGATCTCTATTTTGGCGAACAACAGTGCAGTGACGAAAAAATCGGGGCGTCAAACCGGATTGCAGCTTTTTTGCTGCGCCTTTCCGGGAATGGAGAGATACGTGAAAGTATGACATATGCTATGGGGGAGAATGAACACAACTTGGACGCAGCGGCGAAGGAAATGGCTGAGAAAAAAGTGTCTGAGTTTATTGAAATCGACAGGAAAGCTCAAGCGGCATACCGCATTCACAGGGATCGCTTCCCCACATCCATATGGTATTGTCGCAAGAAGCTCTGCTTTCCAACAATATCAATGGATCCGCTACAGATCCAGCTGTTGGATGAGCTAATTCTGATTCACAGCCACGCAAATAGGTGCCATGCCGCACATGAGCAACTACACACACAGATTGATCCGAGACGCCGCGGTGTAGGGACTTTGACAATTGCCTTTGTTTCACACTCGAGATCTGAAAGGGATGCCGTCTCGGGACAAGCGCATGGCACTGCGCGTCAGAAGGAATTGCGGGAGTTTGCACGTTTTGTATTAGAGGTCTTGCCGTTTCTCTACGGAAAGAGTGACTTCCCCAAAGGAACGGCACGCCCGAAGCAAAAACTGTGTACACAATCTATAAGCTAGCTTTTGGGGGTGTCACGAAATATTTTATACAACCGGATGAGCATGTCCTTGAACACCGCTACAGAGGAGGATCTTACAAGTGTCATTGATGCTGCAGGAGTCCGGCAGCGTCAGCACCAGAGAAATGGAGATAGACGCAACTATCCGCCTCTCCAAAGCCTGAACGAGTATGATTGCGGCTGCGACGAGCCGTGCTTTGCATCAGTTCCGCAGTGGAATTTAATAGGAGAATACAATGACTTTATCAAGCTTGGAAAGGAGCTCAAGCCGCGCCACAAAGAAAACAGGTTTTTATTGAATAGGTTATTTTGTCCGCTCTCAAAGAGTACTACGCGTGTGTGCAACGCTTCACTTTCCGCTTTTTACACAGTGTCCGAATCACTAATTGCAGATGTTCGGAGAGCCCTTGACGAGATGTGCTCAGACCAAGAGAAATTTGGGCGCCCGTTGTTAAATGATGGTACACTACGCTACCGATACGAACGGACGCGTCCTATAAATCGCTACCCTGAACGTATTCGGCAGAGAGTGGCGGCTCACCTCGATATTGTCTTAAGGGCAGACCCGTCGGCCTCCACGGGTCCTAACGTTTGTCGCGTTTATTCTTCTGAGATTAATACTCAGGAGAAGCTCCTAGAGGTCTTGCGCAAAGTCCTTTGCCGTGATGATGAGTCTACCATCTCAGAAGTATCGTCCAGCACGTTACAGCGCATGGTGAAAGATTTTTTAAAACAGCGAAACTGCGTCATACGTTCTCGCAGTCCGATCACAACGCATGTCCAAACTGCAAAACAATGCACTACGCCCTACTACAGTACCAGCATGAGGCAGCCGTCATGAAAAGTGAGCTGGACGACTTGCATCAGCGAACGCGGGAACTATCAGAGGCGGAAAGTAGACGATTAAAGTTATTGTCTGAAAGCATTGTGGAAAACATTTCAAGAGGACGATTGCGTCCAGGAGCTGAGAAGACACAATAGCCGGGATGGACGGATTCGAGACACTGTCGAAAGGCTTACAGACCACTTTCGGAGAGTAGAGAACAAATATCGAGCTATATGTTCGAGTCATGCGCCAAATCAGGAGTTTCCTGACTCAGTGGGTTGGAACCTGTTCCCGGACCGTGCAAT